GGGGGGAGAAGGGAGTGTCGCTTTCACACGATGTCCTTGTTCTTCCGGCATGCAACTCTTTTCTTTCGTATGGCACTGACGGGGACGGGACACGACAGCCACGTGTGTGTCCGCGGCGTGCACTGGGAAAAAAAGGTCGATTTTTGTTTGTTGAGGTCGAGTCTGCGGTGTGAGAGTGACGCGACGTAGTTCGAACCCAAATAGGACTTCCTCCTCTACTGACACTCGGGGAAGCACCAGATAGAAGGGGTGGATGGATGGACAAGCGAGCGGGAGGATCAAGCCACAACAACGTGCTTCTCCCACGCAAGTGAACAGCCCGCATAGGAAAAGACTGACGTCATGCCGCCTTTCGTACCGCGCCCAGCGGCATGGCCCGGGCCAGCGCGATCAGTCAACTACCCGCTCATTGTATTCCCCCGCGCGTGAGTCCGACAAGTATCGCGGCCTGTCTTCCATTTGTAGGTGCCGGACAAACCGTATGCCTAACGCCAAAAGGTGTAGAATATTTTGGGACGAAACCCAAAGCTCTCAAACAACGCTGTCTGCCTCACTCACACTACGATGCGCCTAAACGAGAGAGTCCGATCTGCTTTGCCTGCTGAACTAAAAGAGTTCGATCTGCTTTGCTGCCCAACCAAAAGAGTTCGATCGATTCGGTGATGGAAAGTCAGGCATCTTTGGAGAGCTATAACTCCTCGGATATTAAAAAAAAAAAAAAAAAAAAAAGACTGGCTTGTCACCCTGTCTTTTACGAATGTGTAAACCCTAAAATATATACCCTTTCCCTCTCAAGCTTCGAGAAATCATCGATATTATGCGGAGCGGTCGACGAGCGCCGAAAGCAGATCGAACTCTTTTGGTTTGGCAGCGAAGTAGATCGAACCCTTTCCGTTCAGCAGCAAAGCAGATCGGACTCTTTCGTTAGAGCGCATCGACAATAGCTTCTAGAAGGTTTTTGTCGATAGTTCAGGAGACAAGTCTTAAGTCGAACATAATCACACAAAGGTTGAAATGTTTGACTTTTTTTCGATAGCGTTCGATAGTCCCCAAAAGACTGCCTCTACCACAAGGAACCTCTCCCCCCGCTCCACTCCTCGCTATCCATAGCGCAGAGCGGGCGCCTGGCGTAGGTTTCTAAGTTTTTATTGTGATCTCGTTTCGCATCAAATAAACTGCACGTTCCTCGAGGCGTAAGCAGGGAAGAAACGGGGAACCAAATTCCTTCTTTTCCGTGAGGCCGCGAGGGCGTCGCTCTGTACACGTGCAGTGTCAGCGTGACGCGGGGCGCCGGCGCTGCACTCAGCCCGCCGCACCGGAGAAATAACAACAAAAGTATTCGGCTCCGGTGGCTTCCGACAAGCAAAGTAAAGCAGTAACCAGCGGAGGATTCCACCTCACGACCCATCCGCGGCTGTGCGCGGGGGCGAGCCCTCGGCCGAGCCGGACAAGTAATGACGACAATCACGGATTTCTTGTTGGTTTTGTTATTTTAATTTACTTTTTGTGTCCATCGGAGGAGTAACCCTTTCTGGATATCCCCCTCTGCTTCTGCTCCAAGGAGCATTGACTCTTCAAGGGCGGGTGCAGTTCCCGCGGGGAGTGCGGCGGTTGTGTGCGCGGCGTACACACGGACACGCAGGCACGCGCGCACACTCGCAGCACAACACACACACGCACACACACACACATACTCGCAACACAATACACAGGCGCGGAGCCTTTCTTGGGACAGTAGTCCGTCTCGCCGGGTCCACCCGTACAGTGTGATAATAGCCATAAAGCCATCCTCGAAAAGTCGAAAATAATCCGCCGTGGACCTTCACTCTTACTGCTTGTGCGAAGAGGGGAGGAGATGGTGGCGGCAGTATGTGACTGTGTGTGTGTGTGTGTGTGTGTGTGTGTGTGTGTGTGTGTGTGTGAGGGAGGGAG